CACCCGCTGGCTAATAATTCAGCACAGATTTGCACTCACACGTAGGCCTAGGACGCTTGGCCTATAGTAGATGATATAACTAAGTTAGATCTAATAATAACGTTACAACTTACAAGTACGCGTGTTTACAACGCAACTTTACTAGCAGGCTAGGCGGACTAGGTCTACTAGATCTCTGATGAATCATTTGCCAGCAGGTAAGTGTTTTTGTTATACAGATTCTTATGAACTTATCTAAATTATTAGTATTAGGCCTATACATACGATTGTTAACAACCGGTTCGTGGAGGTCATTAAATTCTAAGAACAGGTTCGCACGAACCGGCTGAATCCCACCACTGCACTTAATTTCCACAATCAGTTTTATTTAAACACACGCTATAATTCACAACGAACGATTCACGCACTTTACTTACTACCGCGCTTGACTTAATTGTCCGTCTCTATCTCTGCCTGTCTGCAATTCTATTCCGATTCATTGTATGGCGCACTTATATACAAGAATAGAGGGCGCCTAGCAAATACTGGATTATTCGTGATGTTCCCCGATCTTTCTAGAACTCATTACGTGTTACCAGGGTCACGTGACTTCCGCTGTCGTAACAATAAGTTTCTTTCTGTGAGCTCTACTTTTTGTTTGTTTGTTAAAACTGATTTAAAGCTGTATCAAATTGATAATGTCCTAGTTAACATTATTATATTACTGATCTCTAAGTATGCATTTGTATGGGATTAGTATTTATCGGAGAATCAGAACTTTATATGAACTGAAATCAACTCACTTATTCAGACGACAGATCTGACCAAGATTTCAAGACAACGAAAATAGTGCAAAATTTTGAAGAATTCTAGATAAAACTGACAGAGTACAACTAAATACAAAATAAAATAGAATGCATGCTTAAATCATGTTATCGATGGTCGTTATCATGTTATCGAGGACTATCTGCGCTAGGTGTTCCAAATTTAGAAGTGATAGACTAGAGAGGATGTCAGCTAGTCAAAACCACATACAGCTAACTTTTCAGCTACTCTAAACAAATAGTGAGATTGTTTGTTTTGAGGGGGAAAACCATTAATCTATTTGCTGTGTCCATGGCGTGGAAAATAGTGAATTGACCGTCACATTATAACGCCTCCACGGCAAAAAGGATGAACACCTTCGGTAATGGGATTCAAACCCGTGGCTAGTATATTACACAGCAGGTAAGCTAGTAATTAAAATCAACTTTTCAACGGTCTTCAAGTAAGCATATTGTTACGTCTCCGTTTGTTAATTGATTTTTTCCGTAACTTCGTTCCAACGAAACTTTAACGACACAAGTCTTT